CACAAGATGAAATATGAAGGGCACTCTGGAAACTTCTGTTCCAGGAGATTGTTGAGGGCCTTTTCCTTGTCCTCTTCCTCCATTATAAGGAAAAGAGGCTCTTCCACTGGCCCCCTGAGCAGATGTCTGTTTAATGGAGCCATTTCACAACTTCTGTGAGATTACTGGGATCTCCTTCATTACAGAATATTAATTAAAGGAAAATGTAACTTTAATATTTCTTATTAATGTATATAGATAGATAGATAGATTTGAGACATACCTCACAAGCATAGCCTGTTATCCAATTGGAAGGGCCTCTTGTAGGGTTTCTGCACTGTAATATACATGTATCTTGGTTAATTTCAAATTGGTCAGAAGGGGGTGCAAATGTAGTGGTGGGCTGGAGGAAATGTCCAGTACCTTTCAGAGAAAACGCCAAAGTTCTCCAGAAGAATAAGAGTCCATGATTGGAATGTCACACTGGAAGACACAAACATAGATAAATCTTTAAATATCAACTGCTACAACATCATAAACATTACTTTAACTGATAACTACTTACAGATGTAAACTCAAAGGGTGCTCCCAAGACAAGATGTACTGGGAAAAATATATATATATATATTCTCCCTGTAAATGACACAGAAAAACCTTCCTTGTTCCTTATTTAACAACTAAATAATCACACCAATAATTGCTTGCAAAAATGTATAGTATAGCCTAAAATAAATAAATAAGTACACAGGTAAACTATTATGCAATAATATATTGTGAGTACATATATTAAACAAACAACTCAAGATATTCATACCTCCACAGACAACTGCCTTGTTGAAGTGGATTTGAAGATGACTTTTTAATTTGACCAGTTTGGCTGGCTTAAACATGCTGGTCAAGCAGAAAACTGCTGGTAATTGCTGTAACACTTGTTGCACTGCTGCAGCTCAGGTAATGTGTCACCTCTCTGAATCCTTATGTCTCTACAAGAGATGAAGCCACACACAGTTATCTCAATGATGACAAATGGGATTAAAATTATTTAAACTACAAGGTGATATTAACACACAAACAAGGCATATAACAGAGGAAAGTAAAGCAAACTATTTATTTGTATGAATAATAAACGTCTTCAAAACTTCACCGCAAGGGCCATTTACAGCATGCATCCGAAAATGAATCGAAATATCCACAGAAAAAAATATGACAACAAATTCAAGCTTCAATATAAGATAATAAAGCCAAGCACACATTAAGTACTTAGTAGATAAATGTTTAACGTAATATATACGATAATTATTAAACATATGATAGCAAAAACATTACAGACTCTCACTTCCGGTTCTGAAACTGCTGCGGGTCTGCAGCTGGATACATCTCCCTTCTGACAGGATCATAGCCATAGTTGCCAAGTCCGCATATTATACGCGACTCTGGGCTTCTTTTTTTGTAAAATTGCATGAAAAAATCCTGGGTTGCGGTTTTTTGGGCTTATTTAAAAAAAATATGGTTGGTTGTTAGGGAAATCTGACAAGCAACTTCGTTTCTTTATTTATGTTCGCCATATTCTCCAATGCATTGGTTGACACTCTGTCTGCTCACAGTTAATAGCCAACCAGTGTTTGCCAAATGTTCCGCCGAAATCCAAGCGATGACAGAAGTAGACGTATAGAGGAGTGGGATGACTTTCTTTTAGCCTAATTTTTGCAATGTATTAATTATCATGGGCTGTAATAAAAAACAATTCCTATACTAATACTAAAGCTATATAGCCTTGGTTCGAATAGCCTATATTTTAGTAGGCTATAAATATGTGGCTATGTTACAGTTCCCCTTTGAAGCTCTTGTGTTTTTCCTCCTTTTCCATCTCTCCAATCCTATTCTGCTCACTGGTGATTGGAGATGAGTTTTTTGTTCTCACGTTGTTGCAGTTTGCTGATTTTTGTAAAATAACATATCGGTTTTTGCTTTTCAGATAAAAGAGTGGTTTCAGTTTAATATGTTGCAGGTTCATTTATTGGTAATAAATAATTGATCAATAATATTGATAATAAATCATCAAAAAAAATATTGGGCTTGTTTTTTAAGCTGCGGTTGCTTATGTATCTTGCGAGAGTCGGCAACAGTGATCATAGCTAGTCGACAGAGAAGAAGGTGGCCTTTGGTGGGTTTATTTGCTTTTATCAGCTTTGACAGCAGCGGTTGACTCCAGCAAAGCCGCAGCTCTGCTCTTAAAAATACTCAAAAAAAACAAACTCCTTTTCCATCTCTCCAATCGTATTCTGCTCACTGGTGATTGGAGATGAGTTTTTTGTTCTCACGTTGTTTGCTTTTCAGATAAAAGAGTGGTTTCAGTTTAATATGTTGCAGGTTCATTTATTGGTAATAAATAATTGATCAATAATATTGATAATAAATCATCAAAAAAAATATTGGGCTTGTTTTTTAAGCTGCGGTTGCTTATGTATCTTGCGAGAGTCGGCAACAGTGATCATAGCTAGTCGACAGAGAAGAAGGTGGCCTTTGGTGGGTTTATTTGCTTTTATCAGCTTTGACAGCAGCGGTTGACTCCAGCAAAGCCGCAGCTCTGCTCTTAAAAATACTCAAAAAAAACAAAACTGTTTTTTGACAGTTATACTGCGTGTAGCCATGGAGTATAAATATATGCTCCCTTTGAGCAAGCGCATCTCTTTTACTGTTGTCATTTTCACACACAGCGGGAGTCGCCGATTACTCATGGCACATTATTGAGCCGTAGCTGGCTTTGCCCCAGAGCTCCTGTTCTCTCATGTATTTAAAGGGGTCATATGATGCTTTTTTTAAAGATCATTATTTGGTGTAACAGAATGTTGACATGCTTTAATGTTAAAAAAAACACATTATTTTTCAAATACTGTACATTATTGTAGGTCCTCTATGCCCCGCCTCTCTCAAACGCTTCGTTTTCTACAAAGTCCCTCCTTCCGACAAGCGCAGTCTGCTCTGATTGGCCAGCTGACCCAGTGCATTGTGATTGGCCGAACACCGCAAGCACTCGTCGGAAATGTAATGCCTCTTACCATAATCGCGAGCTTCAGCTTTCAACATAAATGTAGATAGTAAATAATGTCATTAGCTTTACCATCAGTTCAAGCCCGGAAGAGGAATAGACACAGTAATGATGCAGTACACAAGCCACGGTTAAGACAGCTGACTCCACTGTGATGTGATGTGAAGAATTACCTCCTCCCCTAGGTTCACGAAACGGTTGTCCATAAAATGCATTGCTGTTCTGTTGTAAGTAATCTTAAAGATTCCTAAATGCATCTACTTTCGGAAGGCCAAATAAAGTGCTTTTGCTTTTGCCTAGAAACACACAGCGTCTCCCTGACATGCTGCTTCAACACTAACTGCGGTTACTGAAACCACGCCTTCTTTCTTTGCGTGCACATTTGGGCAGCATTATGCTAATATTTCCACATAGTGAGGTAGATATGTGGGGGCGTGTTAGAACGAGCCGTTTTAGGGGGGCGTGGCAGAGTCTTAACTTTGATAAAGAATATCTCTTTGGGTTTGAGACTTTAGTCTTTGCAACTTCAGGGATCTTATCTATGCACAATCAGCTTGTAACACTCCACAGAGAAAGGAAAACTTGAAATTGCATCATATGACCCCTTTAAATGGAATTCCATGATAATTCTGAGGTGGTACACCTTTGAATATTTTTTTAGTCACATGTGAATTCTGTCCTGCTGGAAGCACAAGCAGAAGTGTGTTGGGAGAGTCATTAGTCTGTAATTTCTCATACTTACTACACTGCTACACATCACAGGGTGCATGTGCTACTCTGATTGCGCCTTGTTGCAAATTATCCGTGTGCTCAAAGAGACACAGAGGTCTCTATAAAAACTTTTTCTCGTGCGACGCCACTGCTTAAGTGATTGACATTAAAACTGTCTGCGTTCTGATGTGTTGACTTGTCATCAAAGCAGCAGGTTCAAACATATCTTTAGCTTGAATGGATCGCAGCACCTCAAACGCTGGTTGTGAATGCCTTTACACTGGAGATATGGAGGGATTTGTTTCTCCTTTGTCTTTATGAATGTGATCCACGAAAGAATCGTGAAACCCTGATGAAATACAGCGAACCCAAACGTTGGAGTTAAAAGGATAGTTCAGTGAAAAACAAAAATTCATCATCTACTCGTTTTGCCTTTGCAAATCTGTATGACTTGTCATTTTTGTCTTATCTGTACCTTTAAGAGTGAAATATTTCAGCTAAACCTACATCACAGCCATTTGTTTTAATCATAAACAATCTTTTTGCTTATTTAGAACATTAAAAACCGTATGAGAAATCATGATGCGTGCCTCTATATGCAAAACGCATTTGACAGTGATAAAATTTAAGGCGCACTTCTGTTAGATTGCATTATGTAATTTTTTTGCCACTACAAGCAAAATCAAAGACATGCATTTTCAAATCTCATCTGCAGTGCTAATGGAAATTGAGAAGTTGTGCTTTTGATGGAGAAAAAATAAGCCAAGGGCTTTAAATTCAACATGATTTGTGACAGCACAAAGCAAGGATTCTTTCCGATTTGCACTTAAAATGCAATCTCTTCCTTATTTAGACTACTGGAAGAGTGAATGGTTTCAAACAGTGAGGTCACAGTCATGCCAGCCCACTAATAATCAGAGTTTCCTCCAAAGAGAGCACTTTAGTTCCATTTCACCATGGTAGACTAGAGATCAGCGAATACACAAACATGTTTTGCCATTTTGGCAGGGAGGTGGCTCATTTCCACTTGAAGAAATAATTTATGAATGGTCAACACAGCAAACATGACTCCCTTGGTAACATTAATTGCTCAGGAAACTATCCCCCCCTCCCCTCCCCTCCCCTCCCCTCCAAGCAAGCTTCGTTCTGTTGAATTCACTAAAGACGTTGCACTAGTATTAGCAAAATGAGCTCAGCTTCAGTTCAACAGCTGCTATAAATTGTAAATTGTTCCAGGAAGCTCTAAAATGGCATCCTGATGGATGTGATTGCTCACAAGGGAGACTCAGAAACCACCTCTTGCCTAACAAAACACCCTGGTGACCTTTTGAATCTATTGCACCACTGTGAACGGTGTGCAATGAATCATCACGCATGCTGAAAAACACTCTTTCAGAAATGGGATTTTTAGAGGAAGGGGGGGAAACATTCCATTGGTTAAATGGCTCAAAGACTACCATAACACAAATAACACTCATTCAATAGAGCACCACAATATTTTCACAGAAGACGGCATTAATTTTCCTCAATGTGGACATGAATATGCATTTGAGCCATGTTGTAAGATGAAACCTTTTTACAGCATTCCTGTGGTCACACGACTGAAATTTCAGTATGATGGTGGTCATAAGGAAGACTGAGTGTTACACTACAAGTCTTATTGCTCTGCTCTCACAGGCATCTTTAAAGATGCACTTATACAGCAAATGACAGGAGCTGTAAAAAGCTCATCAGGTCGTAATAACAGTTCTCCCAAAAGGTTTTGGATCCAAATGCAATGTGGATTTAGGCAATTCAGAGCCAGAGGGTTTTACACACTCAATTAAAAAAAAAAAGCGCAACAAAAAACAGACAAACTCAATTCCATTTCATGACGTTTATTGATTAACTAGAAAATACTGATACCAAAAGAATTGAAAAACACTGATAATGCTGGTTGCGTCTGTTAAAAAAAAAAAAAAAAAAAAAAATCCAATTCCATAAATTCTCACACAAGTCAACAGCACTCTTTAATATCGGTTTCAATGTTTACAAAATGTATTTTGTAATTTTGCTTTTTACAAGATTAAATGTGTGTACAAAGTATATCCATACTCATCTCCCCCTCTCATAAAGGATCATTTACAAAACCTTGATGCTTTTAAAATTTCAAATAATTTCAAAACTATAGCTTTTTAAATTTTTATTATTATATTTATTTCGTAACAGGACCATATCAATGCTGAAGGACCAGCAGATGAAGACTAGTGAAGGACCAGCCTCCAGTCCACACTAACTTTCTCTCTCTCATCTCCCACATTAATGAACACGTTCCTTCCCTCACTAGCAGCTACCTCACAGAATCCAAATTCAGCAGTATTGCACATTAAGCAAGGAGGACGATTGTTCCGAGAGGGGGAATGTCATAAAGAAAGAAACGAAAAGAAAAAAAAGTTGAACAGAATCATGCAAACAGTGAACTCTATAATGCTTCTACTCGGCTATACACTGTTTTCTAATAAGCCAGTTAAACCGTATACATTATAAGATACACTCAAACGGACCCTGGACGAGTAGCAGAGGACTTCAGCGCTTCATCCCACATGACTGCTACCAGCAGAGGCCACCGTCTCATTCAGTGACCTCCATTCACGTTACACTACGTCACAATAAGCAAAATATACTTTTGTTGATTGCTCTAATATTATTCCTAGAAGCATATATGCGATTTCTAAAACATGCAGACAAAAATACTCTAAAAAGTGCTTTCAGCTTGACTCAAGCTCCGAGTAAACGTTTGTTTTGAGGGGCACTTAAATTGTACAACTCACTAAACAGGCAAAAATATTCAACACGGATCTGTTTTTAAAAGATTGTGTCAAACAAAAAAAGAGCTTGCTTACTGTTGCTTTAGATTCACTGTGCATTCGAAGATCATTTGGCATTTGAATTAGCTTTGGGTGTGTGTAAAATCCTCAACCAAATTAGGTGACTTAGAAAAACAGTCCGAACCGAAATAGGCTGAATATCCTTTTAAGCCTCAAGACCACACATACAATGATAAAACATGTTAAGAAATACAACCTATTGAATATCAACAAGATAATATCTCTTTAAGAGAGACCGGGGCAATGTAATATGAAACGTACACAAAAAAAATATATATTTCAGAAGGTTCTACAATTCGTAATAGTGTCAACATTTCTATAATATAAAGAAATTTTCAAAATACTGAGTAGGCCAAATATTTTCCAATCGCAAAGACTGGAAGTCTCTAGTGTCCATACCCTTCTTGATCTCACTATTCTCCCTCTAAAAACGGGGGGGAAAATCAAAAACAACAGAAAGAACCAATAAGTATCTACTGAACATCATTCACAGAGATATCAGGGTATTCATCATGGCGAAAGAATTAAAAAACAGGCAATGGTTTAAAAGCCCACATGCAGTGACATTTCTTTCACAAGTATAAAAATACCACCAAGAGAAAATATCAAACAAAAACATGAAACGTTGAACCAAGGTGGGAGGTAGAAAACAATTTGGCTGGGCAACTGCAGACAACAACAACAACAACAAAAAGTAGCCTCTAACCTAATCTTTTCTATATATCTTGGTAACCATAATTGTTTAAAAAAAGATCAGTACAGATCATCTAATGGTTTTTGTACACATAGACATGAAAAACGTTTAAGAACAGTTTCCTTCCAGCATCAAACAACACGTGCCCAACCTTTAAAAAGACAAAGACATTCATACCTCCTCTGAACCGTAAAAATGAGGCACAAATAAGAACCATAATTACAATTACGCAAATAAGGTGTTTGCTAGTCTCTTCATCCATGTAAGGATGCATGCCATAAATCAAATACATTTGACTGGTCTTGATTAGAGAAGCAGCGAATACATAGCCTGGTCCTAACTGCCTCTGATGACTGATGGCACTTTCTCTGGAACACAATATCAATCAGAAGGACCTATTTTCAAAGACAACATTCAGACTTTGATTCTGCCGGTACACGGCAGCTTTTAGGGACCAAGGTTAAGGCTATTAAGAACGAACCAGAAAACGGCTTGGAATAAAAGTCGATGGAGAAAAACGTAGACGTGAGAAAGGCAAAAAAACAACTCCGCTTTCGACTTTCAGCGCTAACAGATAACGTCACCTGCACTGCTACTATTTGTTTATTCGAAGAAAGTGCTTTCATGCATGAGATGTAATTGCTTTCTGTGGGGGATAGTTCCAGAAAAAAAGAGAAAGCCGAGTAAAATAGACATGATTAGCAAGCGTAGCCTGATTATATGGTGCTTTTAAACTCTCATTCTCCATCTCTCACTGACCCTGAGAACCAATGAGAGAACTAAAATGGTTTTCCCGCAAAGCGCTTCACGTCCACCTGAACAGAGGATTGTCAAGGGAAGTCTGTCCTGTGTAAGACCAAGGGCAGAATTTAAGTGCTTTCTGTTGTAAAACGGCATTATGGGACAACTGGCTTCGAACACTGTCAAATCCCATGAACCATTTGTCCTGTAATAGTAGTTTTGATATCAAGATTACATTACGTCGTCAATGTAGTGGGCATCTGAGATTCCAGTAACGACTTACAAGATCTGTACTCTAAAACTAGTTCCTGATATTTGTTAACATTTTAAACATTATTCACAGTTTATTAAAGCTTTTTTTTTTTATCTTTTGATGCTTTAAAAAAATTACTGTCACATAAATCTATGGTACACGAAAATAAAATATATTTGTTCATATCCTATATAGCTTGTATGCATGTATTTACAAACGGGCATCATCTACATCTGTTTCCGTCCCAGGAGAGCCCTTGCCTCGTAAAAAGAAACCTTTCTGCCGCCGCGGCTGAGGGCATAGGATCGTATATAAATATTCTGATAGATCTTCTGGGCCATTCGGTGTAAAAGTGACTCACACTTTCCTATTAATAAACAGTCCTTGCAGGCTCGCAGACCACAGTTCAGTCCTTTCTTTTAAGTGCTTCTCACATGGGCCGCAGCTTTACGTCTGCTATCGTTTTACCCGTCTGAGTTCATTAGCCAGCCCTTGAAGCTACCAGTAGTAACTGGACAGCGGAGCGTGTGGTGGGGACGACTCTCTGGGCAGAAGTGTGACATGGCCTGTCAGCTTTAATTACTCTTTCCGTTGTTGGTCCCACGGCCAAAGAAGCTGGTTCCAAGCAGGCCTTCTCACCCGGAGAATGAGTCCTGCAGAAGTGTGATGGCTGAGGCAAACAGGGCTCAGCGGTGCAGATGCAGTTGACCTTAGAGACATTTTTGACACGCTTTCACTTTCTTTACCATGTTTTTCTCTTCAACTGGAGATTCCCGAGAACATAATTTGTCCACCACAATCATGAAACGGAGTACTCCATTAACAGACCAAACACTTAAAATCTAGCGCAATTTGACAATACCGTCACCATCGTGTTTGAAATGATGGGCATCTGTTGAAGTGGTCTCTCATCTCATGGATGCTTGTGTCTTTGTCAGGACATTTTCTGTACTCGTCTGATTAGTCAGGCTTTGGGTGAAGCCAACACATCTGTCTAGTCCTTGTATCTCATTCGTTTGGTTCCACGCGCCTCATTTGTTGATCCTCAGCAGATTACAGGAACCCCATCAGTGTTGAATATCATTCCCGTGGTGGGCTCATAAGTGCCAGCCAGGTAGTAGAGGTCTTCGCTGTCTTGGTACTTCTTAGTTTTAATCATCTGCTCATATTGCTCAAGGCTGACCACCAGACATTTATGAGAAATGGTCTGGACGTCATTCTCATCAATGTGAGAGGACTGGTAGAGGGCCCGCTGAAAAGAGAAAGCAGAGAGAGCTATCGGTCTGTTTTCACCCAGACGAAGAGGATCAAACCATTTACTGGATTGGTTTTCTTACCTCCATGAAGTCTTTTCTCTGGTTGGAAGCCTGCAGAACAGCAGGAAGACTTTGGCCAGACATTTGATCCCAGTTCTGCCAAACAAAATTTGATTAGTTACAAACCCAGATAAAGGCAAGACTGGGACAGATCAAGTACCATTCCAGTACTAACATCATAATGCTGTGCCCGCAAACCATTATTCTTGTTTAGCAAAGGGAGATGAAAGTAACCTTTTTGTCATGAAGCTTCTTTCCAGGGTTGGTTTCCTCAGGATGATAGAACCATTTGACACGGACCACCATGTTGTTTCCCCAGGACTCCCACATGCTCTGGATGTGTCCAATGAAGGGGAGGTTGGGTCGTCCAGCAGACAGGAACACGGCACAGTCTCCAATACGGATCATTTCCTTCCCACGCATTATGGCTTTGTAGAAAAGCTTCTTCGCCTTCCCTTTCATTCCCCGCCTCTGTCAGAAGTTGAAGGAAAAGCAAAAGGATATTTTTATGTCCTTTTATTAAAAACGAACAGATTTTTTTCATTTTGTTATATGAAGGTCACATTAAAATTGTCTTGGAAACTTTTTACAAGGCCTTCATTTGTATTTGCAACTATTTTTTTGGAGGCATAGATTGAAAGGGTATACCCCTCACGTTCACGTCAAAATGGAAGTATACTTTGGACTTTACACAATGCAATACATAATTTGAGATGTTGTAGATATAGCATAGGTGGGACTTCAAGAAAGATGCAATCCTAAAATCCATGGACTTACTTGAGTAGGCTTTCCAAACCACTTCCACAGCTGTCTGGCAGGAAGGAAAGCGGAGATCTTGGGCCTGTTCTCGACGGAGGGTAGCCTCTGTCTTTTTGCCAGTTCCTTAGTAGTTGGGAGGTGGATTCCCTCTCGTCTTTTGGGGCGACCGACTCCCTGCTTCACCTTCTGCTGTCTCTGGGGCTCCTGCTGCTGCTGTGTGGCAGATGCCTGCTGCTTCTGGAGCTTCTGGATGTTGGCAGCAGGCCCCGTTTTTGACTTGGCCTTCTCGTCTTCCTCCTCTTGAGGTGGTACATGCTCTGCGGCTGGGGATGGTTGAGAAACTGCAACCGGTTCTTCATCTGAGCTACAGGAGGATTCTTCATCACTGGTGGTGGAGGACGATGAGGAGGAGGAGGAGGAGTGAGAACCAACTGAGGATGAGGAACTGCTTGTGGATGAGCTGGAAGAGGTGGGACTTGTTGCCCGCGAGCTGTTGGAGCTGGTCGAGTCTTGTTTGGGTTTCTTTTCCAGCGAGGCCCCTCGCTCCTCTTCTCCCTCAGACTCTGAGCTGCTGCTGCTGCTACTGCAGTTGGGACACTCCAGTTCCTTCTTGTCCTTCTCCCCTGATTTGCTCACCTTCATCAGACTCTCACTTCCACTGCCAAGCTTACGAACACTGTAGGTGGACACGCTCTCTGTAGTAGGAGGGTCTGCCTCACTCGGCTTGTTTTTAGCTTTCAGTGTTTTGTCTGCAGTGGATATTGTAGTGTAGCTGACACCCATGACAGACTTATTCTCTCTTTTGGAGAGGTTTTGGCCCTTCATCATCATGAGGGCTTTGGTCTTCTTGGTTTTGGGTGACATGACTCCCTCATGGTCCAGTTTGATAAGGATCTCAGTCTGCGGTTGCTTGCGTTGTGTTTTCACACCAAACCCAGATGCCTCCTCCTCAGGCTTTCGCAAGCGTTTGACCGGCTTTCCTTTCCCCGCGGGACTCGCAGTCTCATTGTTGGATATAAAGGAGGCCAGAGAAGTGGAGGGCTCATTATAGAGATCCACAGACAGAACTTTTCCATAGAGCAGCGGCGAGTAGAGAGACTGGGGCTGGGAATGCACTTTGGCTGGGGGCTTGATTCCTGTGGTTTTCTTCTGGCTTTCATTAGATACGGGGATGGAGGGGCTGGCTGTGCCGACTTGCTTAATTTTTCTACCTGGCCGTGGGCCGCTTTTCTGGCCGGACAGGAGCCTCTCGGGGACCTGCGTTGGGGTTGGTGTGTCAGGCTTTTCATGCTCCTTTGGGGCGACTTCAGGCTCTGGAAAGCAGCGCAGGAGGGAAGGTTTTAATATGCCAGACCAAAAACACACTTACCTCCATAAAAATGCTGGGAGGCTAAAAGCAGTTCCTGTTATGACAGTAAGCTCTTTCCATGCAAAAGTAAGTGATTTACTATCTATGAAACCACCAATCCAGTCCACTTTTGTAATATCACTGCATTTCTCATTTCAGTAACACCAGTTCTGATGTCTTAATGTTTAATTTGAACCAAAGCAATAACCACTTTTACAAAAATACCAGCCAAAATGTCAATGAGGGTAAACGTTTGATTCAAAGGAGTGGAAATTACCTGGCTTGGGTTTGGGTTTTCTTCCTCGGCCCCTGCTTTTCGGAGCAGACTCCTCTGTGTTTTTGGGTGGTGTCTCTTTACCATCAGGTACATCCTTACTGCACTTCCTTCCTCGCCTTTTGGTGCTAGCCACAAGGAGCGCAGGGGACGGTTCTGCACCTGTTCAGATAAATTCAGTTTAGAAAACATTATCAATAGACCCAATAAGGCCATTTGTGATTGACAAAATTGACACACACAAAAATACTGGCACATTTCCATGTGCTTCTCTATTTGATATATTTTGAAAATGATCATCCACAAACATTTTCACAGTCAAACACATATACACACACATTAATATTTACCCAGTGCTCTTAAATATTACACACAAGCCTTCAAATCTCTCAGTCTCACTCTCAATCATATGCAACCCCCTGGCAACTAGTGGAAAAACATTTTACTGAATCCATCATCAAGCTTCAAGAGCAAAACCAAACACAAATCAGTGGCCGCATGGACTCCAAATCAAACAGAACGCATATGGGCTGTTTACCTAACTTTGACATTCAAGTAACATTTCATGCGCTCCTTCGTGCCTTGGCTTTTACTCCGTGCTTCGCTGAATACTCACACTGAATCTTGTAGTCCGCCGGCAGCAGCCTAATATGAGAGAGCGGGATCCGGCCAGTGTCTCCATCATCAAACTCCACTGTAATCAAATCGTCCACGTCTTCCATGTCCGGGCTCCCTGTGGACAAGTAACAGGGTTGACGACTGACGCAAAAGAACACGCATTCACCTCAATTTACGTTTCCACTGAGTGAAACAGCAAACACTGCTGCGCGAAAAGAGCGACCGCATATTTCTCAGCGGCTGCCGGGATTCATACAGGGCCTTTTCATTCTCATTGGCTGACAGTGGCAGTAGCAGCAACCTCCCTTTAAGAGTTTCTTGACAAGTCTCCAGCTCTCTCCTTCCTCAGTGGGAGGGAAAATAAATAATAATAGAGCAGAGCTCTGCATGTAGCTAACCACACCATCCTTCATTCCCCGGCTCGGTTTATCTGGCAGCGCTTATGGGCTTGGCTAAAAGATTTAGATTAAAGGAAATGAAACAACCCTGAAAGGTTCTCTTACAACGCCTCTATGTGGAGGACAGTGGACATTTGTGCATATTTTTCCATTTGAGAAACGCAGATGCAGTAAAACGCATTGGTTAATAGTATGTAATAGCCAGTGAAAGGCGCTCAATTAGTGGAACAGAAAAGCCATACCTCTGACGACCGTGCCAGGATAGAGGCAACGGTACTGCTGGCTCCAGTAGGCTGCAATCCGGGTCCCCTGGGGAAGGTATCTAACGGAGGGGGGTTTCACATCAATAATCTGTAGGACAAAGGCAGTGTGGATCAGAGAGGATTATTAGATCAACACCTGTGTGCATTCAGACACTTCGCGATCATCTATCTTCTAAGCCGAATAACTAATGAATCATTTTTTGGCGAGGAAATTTATATTTTGTGTATATAATCCATCTTAGAGCGGCGGTAATGGCTAAGGTTGCTCTTAGCAGTGGTCCGCTTCCAACGGTACATTAGGAAGGAAAGGCGGTAGCCGCGAAAGTGTGTGTGCCTAAACCAACAGACAGAGGTACTGGAGCAAAACATGCCCTTAGCTTAATAGCAGGGGAAGGTGCTAAACAGCTTCTATATTACACTGTGCCTCGGGCCTGTTAGCAGAAAGAGGAAACCAAGGAGTGTGCCTGGAGTAAAACACACAGGCCTGTTGTGGTGAGCTGTAATGTGTATGTGGGACAGCGAACGATGTAGGGCCGTGTGGCGTACTGACCGCCTCCTGTAGCAGCTGCTCCAGGCAGTAGATATGTGGCCTGTTCCCCCTCTCGCCCTCCACCACCACACTGTATCTGTAAGACAGGACACAGTCATCAGCCCAAAACAAAAATCTAGGAAACGCACATCCTGTTGTCATGAAAATATTAACGTTAAATTATTTCCTTATTGCGACTCATTTCAGAACGCGTCAGGATATTCAATGGGAACAAACAAAAAACGTAGGCCAGTACTTTTTTTATGTTATCTAACAGGAATTGATTTGATAGTGAAAAAAGATTTTTCCATTTTGGAAAAGAACTACTCCCTTTCTGAAATACTGCTATAATTTATAAATTAAATATTACATGGCATTATAATATATATAGAGTAGGGACTTCTATTCTATTGGATTCTATGCATTGTTTGATCTGAATGCGAGCTTGCAGTAAATTGTAAGAAAGAGGTCAGGTTTTAACAGACTGAATGTTAGAAGTCCTGTATACGTCAACAGAGAGAAGTATGCAGTGTTGGGGAGTAACTAGTTGCATGTAACGGCGTTACGCAATTTAATTACAAAATAAATGCAACCGTAATCGGTTACCATTAGAAAAATGGAAATGTGTAATTAAATTAAAGTTACTTATGAAAATGCTAATGATTACAAAGAGAGTTACATTTGAATACTTGTATTCATTTTTACTATTTCTTTTTATGATTTTAAATCTGTATTTAACCTCAGAATGATCTCAAAGTAAAGAGGTGCTCAAGTCTGATTTTGTGGTGGCTGTTTTAAAATTAAATTATTATAATCTTAATTCAAGTGATGAAGGATTTTGAAAGTCTGACAGTAATCAGTGTTGAATACTACGGTTAACCCTGCCGGGTTTAAATGTTTTAAAATGATAAACAGTTGAAAACATTCGTCAGAAATTTAGAAAAGTAATCAAATTAATCAAATGTAATCAGTAACCCATTACATTTCCAAAGTAATCTTCCTAACACTGGAAGTATGTTACTCACATTCACAATCGATCACATCCAATCACAGACCCAATAACATGCATTTTAAAATAAAATAAAGGTGATCAGTGAAGTTTCAATTAATGCAGTAGAAGTTTTACAATAACCACAACAATTAACAAAAACTATGGTTGTAGAGCTATATGGCAATTGGTTAACAGTAACTAATAGCCTGCACATCCTAGCTGATGTCAGCAAGAAGTAAAAGTTGAGCAAGTTATTACAATGTGATGAAAGATTAAGACGACCGTTGTCTTTATTCTTTGGAATAACATGCACAGATGTGTCGTAATAAAGTGAAGGGGGTCACTTTTGTCATGTCGGATAGGTGAGAACACACATGAAACTGTCGAAGGAAGCTGTCTGTACCCAGTGCATAATGATTTTGTCTAAAAATATAATGTAGTAGGCTGTTGAGGAGAGATGCAGAAGGGCTAAACCAAAAGACTCAGCAGCCCAAGAGCTAGAAGACAGGGCTCTTTTGGGAAACACACTGAGCTTTGAACCGGCCTTTATTCACAATGCCCAAAGAAGCTTGGCTTTCTCTCTAACCACCCTCCCTTCCTTATTGAAGCTCAACCTTAGGGATACAATTTGGAGGGGCTTGCCCTATTTTTTTTTAATTCCTTGCCAGATGAATTTATCCTTTTGTGGCGGTTTTATTGTCTTTACTGTCAAGAAGTCAGAGCAGTGGGGATATGCAAGATAAGTCAGTTTCTTGATATCACATGTGAGAGCCAAAATGGGCTCTGACGCAAATGGAAAAAAGGAATTAAAAAAAAAAAAGAGGCAGACCAGCCTAAAAGTCAGTGTGTAGGCGGACCACAATCCAAACATAGGGTTCTCTCTCCAGATTTGGAATATTATTGGAATATTATTTCTGGAAGTTGGCAGATTTTACCTTTGAAAAATCTGCAACACCCACTCTCAGCTAAACTAGTTTCCAATGCCAAAGTGAACCAACATGCAAACGCATCAATACTGTTAAATAAAAAGGAAGCTTTTGGACTTTTATTGGTTGTCTGAGTAAAAGAGAAACAACAGTGATTGGTCCTTTAAAGTGCAGGTCACTCTCTATTATTTGATGCAAGCACATGAGACTTATAAATCAGATTGGGCGCATGTGTAATGTCCAAGATGGTGCTTCTGGATAAAAGAAAAAAGAAAAAAAAGGCAGTGACAGTTGGATGTTTAGGCTTTTTTCCATTTGGATTCATGAGGGTGCCTTCAGTTCAAGCATGGATTCAGAGCCAGGCTTCAGAGGTGTCCATCACCGAGTGGCAGCCTTATTACTGTGACATGGACCTGGGAGGTGATGTGGGACAGCATCCCCCAGATCACTTCCTCCTGGATCTGGCCTGAAGGGGAGGACTCTGCTGGCCAAACCTGACTGGTTCTGACTGCAAAGCCTGGGACAAATTCACACCAGGGGGGAGGAAGACTGACCGGACAAGCGGGGTTAAATATCTGTCGAGTCTGTGGATGGCTATCCTGATGTGGGCATGGGACATGGGAAGGGTTGTTGTAAATGTTGTTGTTGTTTGTCAAGTGGAAGGTGTGTGTGTGTATGTATGTATGTATGTATGTATGTATGTATGTATGTATGTATGTATGTATGTATGTATTTGGGAAATAACTTATTCTGATTTGTCACTCGTGGCATTCTGCAGTCAAACATTTTTGTATAATAACCACAAAAATGTACATTCCCAAGAAACTGGTTTTCCAAAATAGAAAGTGACTATTATCATTCCAGAGTCTCTTTGTTCTCAAATAAAAAACAATTTCAGCTCAGATTAATTTTTTGATCTTCCCAAATTTGGGAAGTAGTCTTATACTGGATGCTCCGTGTGGGTTTATTTTAGTGTTGAATATCTTGAAACTGTACTTGATGAATGATACACGCACACACTACAACATCACTTAATATAAATAAATCCTTCAGCATTTCAGCAGAACAGCATAAAAAGCAGGTTTAAAAAAAATGACTATTTACATGTCAATGGAGAAAACTACTCAAAATAAAGTAGCTGTGTAGAGGCATAAAATGCAATTTGCTATATTATATCTCTCTCTGAAACAACATGATGACATTCAGAAATCTTTGATTATTGTCGGAACAGTGAGAGATGGGGAATTTTAGCTGTGAAAAATCAAATTTTTCTCTCTCTTTACATAGAGCCACATCTCTAAAACATAATTAAAGATACAACAGAGAGAAAAAAAATGGCGAGCCAGTGAAGGATGGAGTGAAACATTCAATTAGTTTGCCATTACCCATAAATAATGGGCCTGTGCCATTAGCATGGTCTTCACATCGGAAAGTGTGACAATGGCTTTGCCAAAGGACTTTTCTGAGCAGAACACAAAGGCATCGTGAAAGCCGAGGCTAAGGCTGAGAACAGACACTTTTCCTTACCCTAGATTTCAGTTCCAATTCCACACCGGCTGTGCGAGTTATTGACTGCACAATTAACCAGTCCGCTCTCATGTACTGCAAGTATGTTCATGCCTGCAGAAGCCCAGGCTCTCCACAACAGGCTCTGTTAATGAAGACAGGCGAGGCATATAAACATCCAAATGCCCAAGAACGGATTTTCAATTTCTGGATACGTCTAAGGTGTTGTGTAGCACAAGCCGTCACAGAATTACATTTCCAGAGGGCAGGGTGGACAACAAGTGATCTGTTGCAGCCCAGCCCTCCGCACTAGCGCCTGCTCTCGTCATATTAAATCCTCTCGCAAGTAGTTCTCACCGTCACACCGAACTACCCGCTTTGAAGAACCGTGGTAACACAGTCCTGCACAAAGGCACCTTTCCCTTGCTTGGCTGGAACTGCTATTTTTAGTACAAGAGACACATGCAGAGCGAGCGATAGAGGGAGAGATATTTCACTGCCAAAATGTGACAAACATATCATTATGCCACGCAAATGTGCTGCAAATGAACGGATAAAGCACCACCTTTGTGCTCCCTTAATTTAGGGATTCACGTTTGTGAACTAGCATCCAGATTTTCAACACGTCGCCTGACCTCTGGCTCGCAGACCGCTGGAGTTTGGGAGAAGGGATTGTGATGGCTGCTCCTTGCTTTGAGACTGATAAGAGGACGATGTGTTTCTGTGCTGCATGCTAAACACAGTCATTGAACAACCGTGGGCAGTCACTCTAATAAAACTAAAATGGAGGACAACACATTTCACAGAGGGCAGAAACGCAACAGAGCCCCTCTCATTAAAGATCCCCAGACCAGATGCTGCACCAGTTTGACAGTTTTCACCAAATGAGATTATCTTTTATAGAGATGACTTTGAGAGGAACTCTCTCACCCCTCAAAGGACTAAAACTTGTTCATCCAAGTGGATAATAGGCCATGGGAGACTACAGAAAGCATACAAAGTCCAAACAAAACAAAACTGCCCATTTCGGTCATCGCCTCCCGCAAGACACTTCACACCCCATCTGTTTCCTGACCAAACAAAACGTTGTACTTCCAAATTTTCCATGGAGAACCCTGAACTGGACCTTACAATAGGAAAAACTTGGCAATATTTCACTGTCTGTAACACTAAATGGGTCAAGTAATCGGTTCGGTAAAAATAATCTGTAAATGGCCAGGGAGCTACAGCTAAATAGGGCACAGGAATGAATGCCAACTTTTAGTGGCCTTGGTTGGAAGCCTCGGCTCGAACCAAACCAACTGCCTCTGAGATTAATCAAAATATTAAAACACTTAATTCAGAGGAAAACTGGACAAAACTTTCTCCTTGCATAAAGTATGGAGAATAATGCAATCAAATGAACAAATTTTGTATCACTGTCAGGTATTTGCTTGCAATGAAACATTCTTTTGATTTGTAAATGCATAAAACACCACAGGTTTTGGTTAGGTAATTTTAGATCATTTCAACTGTGATTTCTGTTACAAATATACTTCTCTAATCAGTGGATCTCGCTTCAGGATTGAAAATAATGTACATGATTAATTTGTCAATTAAACATGATTTAAATATAATAAACAAATACTGACTTACTGGCTCTACAGAAGAATGTACCCTTGCCAAAGGATGTTTATATACCAAGACAGTTCACACATATCACTAAGAATGTAAGAATCCACAACATGCAATATGATATGGTGTAATAAATCCCACCTTCTAATAAAAACAGCTAATTGCCAATTGGTAATGTTATTGTGTTACTGCAGCTTCTGTTAAAAGTGCAGGTTTCCCATCAGTGTCGATAGCCTTGTGAGCAGCATGCTGACATACAAAACAGTTGCGCTACAGGCGTCCCAAGTTCGAATCTCAACTCAAGGACCTTTCCCAATTCCGACCCCCTCTCTCTCTCTCTCACTTCGATTCTTGTCAGTTCTGATCTGTTCTATCATAATAAAGGCAAAAACGACAAAATAAAACAGTTCCCATAGAAACAATCAATGTCCTGAAATGTACGCTATTTTAACTCTATTTGACCATTCATGGGACATTTTGTGTATGATTTTGTTGCCGATTAGAAATGCTACTTTAAATGTGAATATGGCAAGCAATTTTTCAGATTTTAGTATTTCCCCATTCAAGCAGATGGGAGTGGGTCTAGCAAGCATTTTACACAATATTACACATATTTGTCTATGACAGTTATTGTAGCCTATAAGAGATTGGTACATAGACAAACAACAAGGAAGACGCAGCAGAGGGTATAAAGAGAATGAAAACAGCTCGGGCGGGGGGTCTCTTACATGTCAGGAGAGTGAACAGTGCTGACGTGGCCGGCATACAGTAGTTTGTCATCCATAGGGATGAGGACCCGTAATCCATCCTGCAGTTCATCTTTGTTAATGACACAGTTCCGAGGGGCTGGGGGACACAGAACAGAGGGAGATGAGAAGAGAGACATGCTGAAACATGTGCTACTAAATAAAACCAGAGACATCTCATCACCACCTTAAAACCTGCAAATGATAGAGAAAACAGCTAGCTTCCAAAACCCACGGAGCTTCTTATGGATGCAGCATCTTAATGTGAAAACTGTTCCCAAAGGAAACTTAATTATGCTGCTCTCCAAGATACCTAATTTTAGCCAAATTCTAAGACAGCATCACATGTATTAATCGTGGAGAAGTAAATCCCAGAGTGCATTGTGACAAGGTCAATGGAAAAAAAATCTATGAATTGAAATATTAAATAAAAACAATAAAATTGTTTCATGTTAAAATAATAAAAAAGGTAATATTATTCCCAAAATGTATGTGCTATGTATTTCTGTGCTTATAAGTGTATAGCAGAGCTAGCTTAGCAACATCCTCACATCATCAAAGTCTACTGAAATCAATTGTGAGCAATTGTGCCTCTCTCTCATTGGAAGGGCTGTTTGTGTGGCACACAGAGTTGCTGTCTATGCACAATGTTCCAAATCGGTCACTAGTGAGGTTTCATGACGGTTATGATCCTGTCAATGTAGGAAGCAAGCAGCTCACAAGCTAATGTATGCAGTAGCACTCAGCTCGCCCCATTAACGTATGAACACAATCAGGCCGAATCAATTTTAAGATAGGCTGTGAAATTATCTCTCCCTCACGCCATTCAAAAGACAATCACTTTTAATTGCATGCACAGACAAGAAAATGAAGTCTGATTTAGTCATAAAACAGCAATTAAAAACGGGGAAGCAATGAAGGGAAAGAGCTCTGCGGCCTTGCTGACAAGAGGGAATATGAAAGGGTCTCACTGGGGGTGCAGGGTCTTTCGGGCTGAGCGCTCACAGGGGGATTCTCATCCTCGGAGAAGCTGCTGTCCTGGTTGGGCTCAAAGTCCTCATCAGCAGCCATACTTTCCATCAGTTTGCTGACAGCACCGCCCTTCCCTCGAGCCTGCTGGGGGAATTCAAGCACATTTTGCCCCAATTCATGTGACAATATGAAATATTGAACACTGAGCCATTGTTGGTTCAGTTCTAAAGATGAGACCCATGTGCTTACTAGAGGAGAATTGATTCAGTAAAACCCATTTAGATGAGTGACACGCTCGGCTCGCCAGATGTAGGATTTCTTGATTTCGAATGCGGCAAATACCCAGAGGAGTTCCCGAGCGTCTGCACTGTGCATTTTATCGTGATTTATACATAAGATGAAAAAACAGCAGCAGTGGAGAGTTTTAAAAAGCAGTGGAGATTTATCGTGAGAAGAAATAAATAAATTGTGCGGAAGGGGCGGAGAAATGGATGGCGCAAGATGTCGTTTGGTTAATTTCACTGCTTTCCCGCTGAGTGTGCAGTCTAATTAGGCTTGCTGCTCTACTGCACTCACCCCTTTTCTCTCTCCTTCTTCCCCATCTCACCTCCCTCCCTTTGGTCACGGTGGGTACTGAGAGCAGGCCCATGCAGACTGGGACAGGGGAGCAGGAAGGGGTGGCTCATTTAAATGCAAGGCTTCTCCCAATAGGCCTTGAGCCTGCCAGGTAAAATTATTCTAATCCCTTTCGCTGTTTCTCCTCGGCGTCACAGTGTAGCACAAAATGGCTGCCCAACACTCAGTCTGTTTCAAATATTTATTATGTGGCATGTTAAAAATATGAAGTAATACAGTGCATCATGTATTTTATGTACTAAGAGTGTTAAGGCAGGCCAAACAAATGTAAAAGTATGATATTTTTGTCATCAATAGTAAGTGTCAAAAAATATAATATAATATATATTCAAAAGTTTGGGGGTTGGTAAGATTTTTTTGGGTTATGGAAAGTGGTCTGTAATGCTCCCCAAGGCTGCATGTTAAGTATTATTAAAACTAGTTTTCTATTTCGTTATATTTTAAAATCCAATTTATTCCCATGATGGTAAAGCTGAATCTTCAACAGTCATTACTCTGGTTTTCCGTGTCTCATGATCCTTCAGAAATCATTCTAATATGCTGATTAGTTTAAAAAACATTTCTTATTATTATCAATGTTGAAAACAGTCATACTGCTTAATATGTTTGTGGAAACCATGGTACATTTTTTCAGGCTTTTTTGATGAATGAAAAAAAAAACAACAGCATTTATTTGAAATCATTTGTAACATTATATATTTCTTTACTGTCAATTTTGATTATTTAATGCCCCTTGGTGAATAAAACTATATTTTTAAAGAGAAAAAATAAGTGGTACTGACCCCAAACTTCTGAAAGGAAAATGTAAAATAATATTTAATACAATTGCATGAGCCTAAATAAAATTAATAGATAAGCTTAGCTTATAATACCTTTATAATACACTAGTCAACATTTGAAGTGTTGTCCTAAAACCAAAATGTGTTCTTGTCTTAGGACAACTTTGATGAACTTTTTTTGAACCACTTCAAATGTTGACTACTGTATTTAATAAACAATAAAAAATATTTATTTCCCAGTTGATGGTTGTTGGTAGATCTTGGAATTGACTCAAGAGGAAACTACCATTTCTGTTCATGAGTCAAAATATTGCAAAATATCAGCCAGTTTATGACATATTAGCACTGCAGTGTTAGGCAAGTTACCTCTCTGGCTTTGGGCTTCACCTTGCTCTTGCGCCCTGGGCTGACAGGGAGAGCTCCGGTGCCATCAGAGGGTGTGCTGGAGAGCTGGGGTGGGGGCAGACACAGGGGGGTCTCCTTAACCCTCTTCTTCTGGAACATTCACACCAGATACAAAGCCAAACCATCAGCATGGACTAGAGTGAAAAGCCTCATACAAATGCATGACACAATTGGGCTCAGTTCTCCCAGACATTACAGCCATTCAACAACACTGGATAGACAAGCAAACATTATTAGGCAGTCACGCACTGAACACTATCAAAATAAATAAATAAAAAAACGAGGGAGGATTCGGAGGGTGGAACGGTGATGGCTGGTAATTGTAGCCTGGCAAGCGGCAGTCATCCTTTTGTGTCCAACAACACGACACTCACAGCAGGAGGCTTTCTTGTCCAACAAATGTAGCAGGACACCTGCTGGTATCAAGCGCCCTCACCGTTTTGTTGGGTCTGGCACATAGAACTTGGTCTACATCAATAAAACAAGAGCTTACCTTGTTGGGGTCTCTCGCTTCCTTGCCTTTGGCCAGCTCCTTAGGGCTCTGTGGGGATGCTTTGGGGCCACGGGCGGGTTTGGGAGTAAGCGGAAGAGGAGTTTTGGTGGACGGGGAGATGGGGTTGGCTTGGGCAGCATCGTGGAGGAAGATGCGTTCGCTCCTCCGCCGCGTCCATTGTTCGTCTTCGCTCCCGTCAGCGGTAAGGTCGAAACTGAACTCCCGGGGAGACTTGGGTTTCTTGGGTTTGCGTCCACGCTTGCTGGGGCTGGAGTCGTCACGCATAACGCTCACGGGTGGCAAGAGCGGGAGCTCAGGAGCCGACCATTTGCCATGCAACAGCGACGGAAACTTCTTTCTTGTCTTAACATCGCTCTCGGAATCTGTAAACTCGAACTCTGTACCTACAATCCAGAAGACATAATCTTCGGTTATTACTAAAGCATGCAAACTAAATGCACTTGCACATAAACGCAAAGTGCCTTTTATGAAAAACACACCAGTAATGTAAATACTAGGCCATCTGCTATAATTTAAACCATCTACATGTGGTCAACTCATTTGCAAACGAAGAACGACAATATAATGTGCACATGTGAGATATAAACAGGGCCAGATGTGGGAGCAGAATTAAGTCCGAGCGTTGTTGCAGGGTCTTGGAATAGTTAATGAAGGGGGCTGTTGGTCTCCGCTGGCAGGCCTGTCGTGTGCACTGCTGGGTACCCACTCAGGATCACAGCACAACCTCATCAAAGCAAGGCCTGTCAGCATCACATTCTCAGCGAGCGCAAGCGGCGCAGCAAACACACACACAAATGCGGCGGGGGGATAATGACACTCCATTCTCAAGGTGGGGCACAACTGATGGGTGTCTATATTGAATAACACCCCTACTGAGTGACTGCTCCAAGCACAATGTGTTTTCATCTGCCAGCACCTTTCAATTCTCTCACTCGCCGGTGCACATGCACGACACAGGGCAACAAAAGACAGACAACAACAATGCATCACCTTGTCACCTGGGAATTCAAGTCCCATGGGCTTGGAAAAGCAGCTGGCGTCACATTTAAGAGATTACAGATGAATCTAAGAGCGTAGGGAAAAAAAGCACTTCCTTACCCAGAAGACTCTGCCGTTCCTCTTTCTTCTTGGCTTTCTGTTTAGCCTCCAGTTGGACAATGGAGAGCGGACTGGTGACAACAGGGCTCGGGATAGCGCTGGCGGCGAAGCGAGCCAGAAGACCCAGCCCGCTTTCTTCTATGGATGACGAACACAGGCCGTCACTTTCATCAAGCTCGTAATTATACCCATCTTCATCCTCGTCGTCGTCGTCATCATCCTCATAATCATCCCGTTCGGTAAAATACTCTGTTAACAGGGAAGAAAATCCTTTAGGATTTTTGACACAACATGAAAGGTTCAGAAATTGATTTCAACTCTAGACCTGGAGGACCAGTGTCCCGCTGAGTTTAACTATAACCCCAACCAAACAAGTTAATAAAGGCGTTAAGAATTACTTGTAAATTACACTCTTAAAAACAAAGGTTCCATGAGTTTTTTTTTTTTGTTGAAAGAACCATTTTAGGGTTCTCAAAGAACCTTTAAGCCTTGGTGTAAAGAACATTTAAATAATCTAAAGAAGCCTTTTTCACTAGAATCTTTTGTGCAGTGGAAAAATTCATGGAATCATGGGTGCAAATAAAGAACCTTTATTTTTAAGAGTGTGCAGACAAGTGGGTTAAATAGAGATTAAAGTTTGCAGGGCACTGGCCCTCCAGCACTGGAGTTGAAGTGCCCAGGTTTAAAGTGATAGTTTACTCAAACATGAAAATTCTGTCATTATTTACTCACCTTTATGTTGTTCCAAACCTCTATGAGTTTCTATCTTCGGCTGAACAAAGATAATTTGAAGAATGGTTTTTTTTGTCCATACAATGGAAGTTAATTGGGTCTAATCAATGTTGTTTCAGACTCTATTGACTTTCATTGTACGGACAAAAAAAATTAAATATTTTTTTGTGTTCTGAATTTGGAAAAAATATCACCGGTTTGGAATAACATGAGAGGGAGTAAATGGCAAAATATTCATTTTTTGTGTGAACTGTCCATTTCAATCATCTTCCATTAAATCGAAACCTCAATCCCATGCAAATAAATAAGAAATATCCAACATATAAAAGACCATTTTCCTTGGCAAGTTCTCTTTGTAGAACAATAAAACCATCAAATTCAATCTGCATAGCTATGAATACTAGCTTACTATCACGAATGCATCATTCCACCAGCAGTAGTGTTCTTCTCACTTTCACATATCCATTGTATACTAGCACCGCAGTAGCCGACTTTCTCTAGATTAATGTGTTCTTGCTCAAACACTGCAGCCCACCCACCACTACACAAGATTACTGGTGGGGGACAAAGCCTGGTTTCATGCGGGCAGCATATACTAAGCTGGGTAGGCAGGATTCAAGCAAGCGCAGCTTTCAAACCTTCAGAGCTTTAGGGCAGGATTTATAATCAGCATGGCTGCTGGCTCGTTCCAAATCAAGAGGGGCTGGGAGTGCAAAAGCCCAAACCAAATAAGAGAAGCCAGTAAAGTGGCCTTGCCCAATGTGCTGAATGAGCTGAATCACTGAGGGAAAAATGGGAATAGAAATAAGCCACAAGCGCTGCAGAAAGCTAAGGTTGCTGGCAGAATCCCTGACTAAGAAAGTCATCAATTATTAACAGTCTCTTCAGCTCGGAGCTCGTCTAAACTGATAAAGGACAAAAAAAAAAAAAAACCCTCAAGGACTAACAGTAGGTACCCACTTTAAGCAACACCCCCTTTTCTCTCATTCTCTGGAGGGTGTGGAACACACTTGGTGATGGAAACAGACACACAGGATATTTCAGTGCGGTTGTGAGTAGCTGAAGCCAGAGGTGAGTTTGTTAAAGACATAGACTTTGTAGCAGACAAGGACTTCGATTGGTTATGTTGTGATAATTGTATAGATGCCAAAGCGTTAAAACCTGAAGCATGTATTACATGAACTGACAGCAAGCAGAGGATGTGTACAGGAAGAAGAAAGCTGAGGAACACAAAGCAGGCTCTGTGAGGACAGTCCTCCATGACTCCTGAGACTCAACTCAGACCATTAACCACTTCACTCATGGTTATGTTCTTTTTCAATTCAAACCTCTTGCTTTCTTTGCGGTAAATTATGAAGAGAGAAAAAAAAAAAACTTTTAAGGGAAAATAATAATAAAAGCTAAATCAAAATAATAATTATAATAAATAAGCTTAATCAGACATTAAATTCTAACCAACATCAAAGAGAAACACTATTTAGTTATATGCTGTATAACAATGGAAAAATAAATAAAAATCTTGCAGATGTAGAGAATTTCTAAAACATCAAATTATTAATGACCAAGAATAAGGCAGTGAAGAAAACGATGACGGTAAAGAAGAATGTGAAGGAGAAGAAGGTCAAGATGAAGAACAAGGTTGTGAAAGTGAAGGAAGAGATGGAGGAGGAGGAAGATAAGATAATGGTGATGGAGAAGGAGAAGATGGCGATCTCCTAAACTATATATATATATATAAAAAACTTTTTCCACCAAATACAAACATAACCATGGCTTGAGGGCATATAACAGGAGGTGAGCATGTTACAAAGGTATTTTTAACACCTCGACTGTTATCCAGTCTTTTTTGTTTGTTTGTTTGTGTTTTGGTTCTGTAACAGTGTAAGCACAAATTAGTAGAAATTATTGAGAAGTCACAGCAAAAGAGGGGGGTGGCCTACTTACAGGACAATGCTCAAGGCTCAGGTGACATGGATAGTGACCTCACGCTGAACAGCTGGCTGCCCAACTCCCAGACAAGCCCTTTGCTTCTTATTTTGTTGCAGCAGGACAAGCAAACGCACAGACCGATAGACATTCAAAAGCATCATGGGTAGGAGAAGGGGTCAGAGGTGGAGGGGTGGCCAAGCAGCTGCAGGGAGAGAGCGAGCAGTCTAGAGAAGCTAGGTTATTCATTTTTTAGTAAATCAGGGTGCTCCCTATTTTCCAAATATCCCTGTTCACACACTTACCATAGTGGAAAACACTTCTTGGAACAGTTCAAGATTTATGATTGCAGGTTAAGCTTTAAAGTTCTACAAATTCTGGTTGCGTGCATGTTGATTTAGTGACTTAAATGTAGTTATAATGGTAGTATGCTCTACTACCAGTGCTTTCACGTTAGTTTATAGGACTAATTCAAATGTATACAATATTATTATTATTAAATGTAGAAAACATTAGCCAACATCCATCCTATCTGAATTCAACAGTTTCTCATTTGTTAAATATCTGATCTCTTTGAAGAACCTAACAAGAAGTTAGTTATGCTGCTCAAAGTCATTTGGCCTAATGAATCTCATGAGTGCTGAATTTATGCAAAGATCTCCTTGTGACAGCTCTTCACTGATGAAAGGGATATTTGAACAACCAGGAGTGTGGAGTGTTGCAATCTAACACTCTACAGCAAGAGATGTAGCGAAAGAGACAGAGAACACTGCATTACTTTACTTTCAGTAAAAATGAAATCAGCATGTTTAATAAAGCTTGGGTACCAAACTGCAATACAACAAAGAACACTTTCAACAGCCACACACATTTTAATGCACAATGGCAAGACATTCCCATATAAAAAGTAAAACCATTTCGAAGTGACTCTAACAAGAGCCGATTATATTACATACTGGATGTGAGGTAGCAAATTCTGATGCAAGCATCTTAAAACGGCTTCTCAGGAAAAATGTTATCATGACCAATGGTCATGGTTAAAAATACAAGACAGACCAAAAATAAAAAAAAGCTAAAACCGAGAGGCTGCCTTCTCGATTCTGTGCATAGTGAGGTATGCTTTATTAACCTTGGTCAAATGAGTCCTCAGAGGAGCTGACTCCTGCCTCCTGTAGCAATAAAGCAAAGTGCTTATGTTTCCTCTCTTTGGCCGCCTGCTTGGACTTGAGTGATGAAGAGGCTCTCTTGGACGATGAGCGCTTTTTCTTGGATGGAGTGCTGCACAGGCCGAGGAGCTGTGGACGTGACCCTGTTCTCCCCAACATGGAGCTGGGAGGCCAGCCATCCTTCAGGGAATCGTCCTCTTCTGAATCTGTGTCTGGTACAAATCACAACAGATTTCACTCAGGATGGAGGTCCAAAAGCACGATAAACTAAACTAATTCAAAACAATTATGCTAGACATATATATATATATATATATATATATATACACACATATACACACACACACACACACACACACAGGGTACGGAAAGTATTGGACCCCCTTAAATTTTTCACTCTTTGTTATATTGCAGCCATTTGCTAAAATCATTTAAGCTAATTTTTTTTCCCTCATTATATATTTCCGTACCCACTGTATGTATATATATATATATATATATATATATATATACACACACACACACACACACACACTGCCATTCAAAAATTAGTGGTCAGTAATATATTTTTTGACTAATGCATAATCCTTTTATCAATCAAGGATGCTTAAATTGATCAAAAGTGACAGTACAGACATTTGTAATGTTACAAAAAAGCTCTATTTCAAGTAAATCCCTTTTGAACTTTCTATTCATCAAAGAATCCTGGAAAAATTTATCAGTTTCCACAAAAATATTAAGCAGCAAGTTTTTAACATGATAAGAAAAGTTTCTCGAGCAGCAAATCAGTATATTAGAAGGATTTCTGAAGGATCATGTGACACTGGAGTAATGGCAGCTGAAAATTCAGCTTTGCCATCAAAAATAAATTACATTTTAAAATACATTAAAATAGAAAACAGCTCTATATCTAACAAACAATATTTCCCAATATTACCATTTTTACTGTATTTTTAAAAAAATGAATTGGTAATTAGTACATTTATATATCAGGACAGCATTTTTATTCATTTTATGTAACAAAAAAAATCAAAAAAAAAAAAAGATTGATTAATACCATTACTGTGGTATAAAATTACTCGTACTGCCTTGCTCCTAAATAGTAACATCTAAATGCAGCCCACAGTAATTTATTAGATATTACCTTAAACACATAATGGTAGATTAGTTATCAACAAAAACTCTCCATTATCTAAGATGAAAAAAATACATATTTATAAGGAAAAAGCCCCTGGGGATATTGTAACCTGTTTACATTAGAAACAAAACACTGGCAACAACAACAACAAAAAATGACACTTACAAAAAGTCTGACTTACTGTTAGAATAGCTGCTGATTTCTGACCTCATTGGAGAATAAGGTGCTTTCCACTGGCCCTTTCCCTTAAGGCATGGATCTGAAGGCTTAGTTGTGGCTACCATTTTGCTTTTACCTCCTTTGAAAGACTTGTGAAAGATGCTGAGATCTTTTGACAGGCTGGATTTTCCCATCTTGACTATCATGTCTATATCGGTAAGCATGGGGACTCTGCTTCCAGAACTAGCCCTGGACTTCCCAGAGGAACAGTCTATGAACTTACAAGAGGGCTTGCTGAGTTTACTGAGCTTAGTGAGTGACAAGGCCTTGTCGAGTTTGGATGCCAACTGCTCCTGCTCGCTCACTCGGCTCTTCTTCACAGCCATTTTAGGTGTCTGTTAAAAGAGATAAAAGCAATGAATGGATTTTATTTGATACAACATGCATGTTCTACAAAAGCAAAAATGTTCAGATATTTAGGAGCTAGAAATTCACTCCAGTATAACAGAGACCAACCTCATGAGAGAAGCTTGAAGATGCCTCCTGCTCGCTCCAGCTCTTTTTTTTCTTCTTCAATCTCAACGCACTCTCTTCCTCCTCATCTCGGTTAGAGGCCCGAAAGCGCTTCCTCAGCACCTCCCCGCTCTCAGAGTCCTCTGAGTAAAGCACGCTTCTGCCCAACCTGCAAAACAACAGAGCGTTCAGCTGGAGGGCAGGCCGTGTGGAGCACAGCTGGGCCTTATCGGTGCCTGAGCAACACACTCACTTCGCACACTTCGAATCCAGCTTGCTGGAGGGTGGAGACAGTGCGCATAGGCCATGTTTCCTCTTTCGAGGACGTCCCGGGCCCCTGCGGACTAAACTTCTGTTCTTCTCCTGCTGCTGGATCTGTTGTTGTTGTTGCAGCTGCTGACGTTTATCTCTGTGAATCACAGGGATCACAAATAGCAGATTGTTTGTTAGAGGGATTAAACTAGATAGATTTGCATTACTGGTCTTAATGAAGTGGTGTAAAGGGAGGTAATGTTAATTGGGAGACTCACTCTTTGTCTCTCCGCCTCTGCAGTTTGACCAGCTCTCGTTGCTTTTCTTTGTAATGTTGCTGAAGCTCAGCGAGTCTCACACGGTAGTCCACTTCTACGGTGTCCATTCCCTCCAAAGAGGATTTGGAGAACATCTAAGAGAGGAAAACAAGATTACCGTCTGTGGTTGGACTTCCATAGCCAGTACTCTAAGCAGCAACAAAAGTATTATTAGCTATGCCAAATGTCTGAAAAAAAGTAAACACTGCTAAATGTAAAAATGAAAATGGCGTTGTATTTTGCATTTTAACTGCATTTAAATGTAAAAACTACAAATGCCTCTAACTGAAAACGCAGTTAAAACGTACAAAAAAAATCTAATGCCACTGGAATTTATAAACACTGCTTAAATGTTAAAACATGAAATACCACTAGCTTTAACCGGTGAAAACAAACATTTAAATTCCACTGGAATTTGTAAACACTGCTTAAATGTTAAAACATTAAATACCACTAGCTTTAAACGGTGAAAACAAACATTTAAATTCCACTGGAAATGTCACTAGCGGTAAACTGTCAAAACGTAAACATTTAAATGCCACTGGAAATGGTAAGCACTGCTTAGAAGTTAAAACATCAAACACCACTAGATGTAAACACAGTTAAAACTATGTAAATGCCACTGGAATTTGTAAACACTACTCAAATGTACAAAAATTCAAATGCCACCATTTGTAAACATTGTTAAAAAGTGAGCAATTCAAATGCTACTGGAATTTGTAAACATGACAAATTAAATAAATGTTAACACTGCTTTTATTTTATCGACAAAGCTTTTAGAATCACCATTCTGAGAGCAAAAAAACCCCCTCTTAAGCAGAGGTTTATAAGAGGGAGAAGAAAATAAAAAGAGTAATAAAAAAGGCAAGCATACAGGTTCATCTTTCTTCTGTCTCCAGCTGTATTTCTTATTAGGGTTGAGCTCTCGAGGGAGGCGGATGATAACCTGAGGTTGACACTCAATGGCCTCCAGGAGGACCTGTCTACCAGCTTCCAGCAGACTCTCCAGTCCACAGAGCATTACAGCTGCACACACAAACACACGATCGATAGCAACATTAATTACCTCTAGGGAGCACAGGGCAGCCCTGCATTCTCCAATACATCAGTATATATGGGTGTTTCTTGTGTTAGACTGCAATAATGGAGTTGACATCCAGATACATCCAAAAGACCAGACAATTGCATTTACTTATTCCTTAAACGCAAGTTTTTACTCTAAAAGCTGCTTGAAGAACAAGCAGCACAAGCACACTGTTCAACACTCCAGCAAATTCAGAATATATTCACTAGAGCTGAAACAATTCCTGAGCTTGTTTCAGCACATTACAGCAAGCAAATCTCTCTCCCCAATCACCATGCTTCCCTGAGAACTGTTGGAGCACGCTAGATCAAGTCCCACATCCTTCAGATTTCCCTTCCTCTCTCTGAAACGAGACTCACCCTGTGTGTCATCTCTGGGTTGCCTCTGCATCTCCAGCTCTACCATCTGGCTGAGCAGGGCCATGCCTTCCAGAGCAGTGGACTCTAGGGGACTGATGCCCACGCAGAGCTCAGATCTAGAGCTACACGTATCTGCCAGGATGGACACCGCTCCGGCCTGCGGAAGCTCGCTGGCTGTGACCAGGGCAAACATGCCTGCCATGGGGTCTTCAGGCAGGATGGCCACCGGTGCGGAAGAGGGCTGAAGGTGAGGAGGGCTGCTGTTAGGCAGGAAAGGATTGTCAAGTTTGGACTCCAGGTGTGGAGCATCCGGGACAGGATCTCTGAGGTCTACTGGGTTCAGGCTATCGGAGAGATCTAAGGGCGGTTTTGCTGGTTGGATGTCACAAACCACATGGTGTGCGTCCGTGTAACTAGATGAGGATTTGTAGACTTGGTCTACCAGACCAATCGAGGCCTCTGCAGTTTCTGCTCTGGTGGTTCTCTCAGAGTCCAGCCTAGATGTTTTGTACAGTCTTGGATGGCTGGAGGCGGCAGCTTCGATTTTGACAGCCTCCCTATCTTCCTCATCTGATTCCTCCTCTGGCGATGGTGTGGCTTTGTCTCTAGGGTGGGCTTCAGCCTCTGTGGGGGAGCTAGAGTCTTGGGTGGTGATGGGTGCAAGCCTCAGGCTCTCCTGGTTCAGGACGTCTTTGCTGTCTTCCAGGTTTGGCTCTTTTTTGAACACTGCGCCACCCTCCTCCATGGACACTGGCTCTCTGGATGCCTGAAGTGGCTCCACAACCACTGGAGAACACAAGTGCTGGGGTTTGACATCTGTGGCGGTCGCCAAGTGTTCGGAGGTCTCCGCCGGCAACGGTACATCTGGCGCCAGGCCGTCAGCATCTGCGGCAGCAGCCGGCTGGAGGAGGTAGGGGTAATGGCTGCCGAAAGGTGCCGTTATCGATTGGTACGGGTAGCCGGGAGGAATTTCTGCCAAAGAAACAGAAGAGACAGGTTTTTGAGGTGCTTATGCAAAGAGTAGAGGGGCTTTAGTTCCCTGCGACAGAGTGACAAAGTGATTAATAACCCCACATGTTCTTCGGCACAAGGGCTTTATGAAACTTTCATGAACCAAATGGCTTCAGCACAAGCATCCCAAAAGCCCTTATATACACATAGGCCAACACGTTCATGCATACTCATACATTCAGAACGCACCGAGCAGAAAATCTATTTATTCTGAGCATTGAACATTTTTAAAGGGAAACCGCCAGGGGATACGGGTACAAAAGGGTTGCTGTCATAAGAAGTCTCTATTGCAGTGAAGTGGCAGCTGGTAATCCCATATGTGGAGATATTTGCAGGCTACTCATTAAGACTGCACTACCCTGCACATTCTGACATGAAGAATAGCACACTGCATTTGATTGCAGTCCTGTGTGGATTCTTGGTCCCCTCCCAAAACATATTTCCTTAAAAACAGCACTACGGTGATTAATGACCGTGCATTATTAAACAGCTTTCCTTTCGGTTTTTGATTAGTGTCCCTTTCATTTACTGTGCAATATGCAAATAAACAATTATTTCATAAGACCATGCAAATCTACAGTTGAGGCGACTGTGACAAATTAAGCAGACTCAAACCTGGACATTTAATTTGGGAATGCTGATCTTCTCACTTACCACGGTAAATGGATGGGAAGGGAGCAGAAGGTTGCTTCTGTAGACTGAGTGGCTCTTTCTCAGGCACTTCCACAGACTCCTCTTTGGTCTGGATGGGGGAGGCAGAAGAGGGCGATGCTGAAGCAGGGCTGACTGAGTGAGGGACAGGAGACGACGGATGGGAGTAGGGCTGTTGAGGGAGGGACTTCTCCACTTTGGGTCTGTCCGCAGACTTCAGTGCAGTGACAGGTGAAGGCAGCGGTGAGACAGGCAGTGGTATCAGGGCTTTTCTGTATGAGGTGGAGGGGGTCGGGGAGCGTGGGGGAGGCTTGCGTGAGTGCAGGGCTGGAGTGGGGATGCCCAAGAGACTGGATTTGGCCCCTTCAGCTCCTCTCTTGTCTGGCTTTTCCTCCAAATCTGTCCTCGTTTGACTTGCATTTAATCTCTCCTGCATCAACATAAAAACAAATCAAAACTTTTTTTAATACTTAAATACAAGCCTATTCAAAAATGTCAACATTTTTTCAAAAAGTATAAAATGCATGCAAATTTATAAAAACCAAAATAACAGTTTAGGAAAAAACCTGAAACCTAAATTTTTTTTACACAAAAAATAAATACCACAGTACAATATTTTGGACTTGATACTAAAAGTTGATATATGCATTTGGCTTGTATGTACGGAAGTTCTAAGCGGCCATGCATTATTTTTTTTTTCCCTTCTTGTTTTCTCGTGCAAGGGGAAAAAAAATAATGCATGGCCGTTTAGAACTTCCGTATGTATGCCTGTTTTTCATGTTGAACATCCTGAGTTGGTGCAAATAGACCTTAAAGGATAAGTCCACTTCCAGAACAAAAATTTCCTGATCATTTACTAACCCCCATGTCATCCAAGATGTTCATGTCTTTCTTTCTTCATTTGCAAAGAAATTAAGTTTGAGGAAAAGATTCCAATGGACTTCAATGGTGGCCAACGCTTTTAAGGTCAAAATCGCAGTTTCAATGCAGCTTCAAAGGGCTCTACACGACCCCAGCCTAGAAATAAAGGCCTTATCTAGAGAAACAATCTGTCATTTTTTTAAATTATATTTATACACATTTTAACCACAAATGCTCGGCTAGCATTAGCTCTGCGATGGGCGTCTTTATTAGGTGATATTGGAAAGGTTACGCCTGACGTAAGCGGATGTTCCGACCCAGTGTTTACAAAGCGAACATGCAAAAAAAGTCAAATGCCCTTTACAAACAAGGTAAACCAACGATGTCGGATGATTTTAAAGTTGGAGAAGAAAATGAGATAGAGTTTTTAAATGAAGTATAAAGACGAAGAACTAACTGCGTGCGACCTTTCCAACATGATTACGTAATGTGTGAAGACACGCATGCGCATCGCGGCGGTATAGCAGGTCGAGCATTTGTGTTTAAAAAGTGTATAAATATACATTTCTTTCAGAAAATGACAGATATTTTCGCTAGATAAGGCCCTTATTCCTCGGCTGGGATCGTGTAGAGTCCTCTGAAGCTGCATTGAAACTGCATTTTTGACCTTGAAATCGTTGACCACCATTGAAGTCCACTACATGGAAAAAAGTCCCGGAATGTTTTCCTAAAAAAAACCCCCGCAATTTCTTAAAGAGTGAAGAAAGAAAGAAAGACATGAACATCCTGAATAAAATGGGGGTGAGTAAATTATCAGAGAATTTTTATTCAGGAAGTGGACTTATCCTTTAAGGACTACAAAATGGGAAATACAGGCATGCTTCCCAACGATTATAATGATATTGACAGACAAAGAGCCTCATACCACTAAGTGTGCATTCCTCTGCAGCTCCATGACCTGTGCGGTCTGGTGCTGGATCATGTAGAGCTCCTGTTGGCGCAGGACCTGCTGGTGGGAGAGGAGCTGGAGCTGATGGGCATGCTGCAGAGTGCTTCCTGCTGGCGGGTACATGGCCGACCACAGCGGGGGGCCTCGCTCTAACATCTCAGCTTTTAAAAGAACAGGAGGAATACTTGAGCATCACACATCAAGTAGATTTATTCTGCTACATGTCAGGGATATCACTCCCACTCATCTTTAGAAATGCATGTTTATGTGTGTGTGAGAATGGAAATACGGGAAAATATAAACACAGAAACTGTGAAGAATACATGGGACCTACCATAGTGTGGCAGATGCTCTGTCGAAATAACAACCACCTGCCCAGTTTGTGGATCTCGGGCAAACTGGTAAGGTGGAGGGATGGAGCCTGTCAAGGCAGGAGAATATCCTGGAGGCAGCGCCTGATGAAGGGAAGGGGGACCCAGACCTGTACACAACAGAGGGGAAAATGGTTGGGTTCACCGTACTTGTAGTTGATGGTCCATTTGCACTTGCTTTCTGGCAGCTTCGTGAAAACTCAAGAGTTAATTCCCAAGAGAAACAACTTTCCACACCCTTGTGTATGGAGCACGGACCTCGTTGAAATCCTGCCAAGAGGCACAGCACTTTAACTACAGCAATTTACTTGGGGGACATTTTTGTTTTTAAAGTAAAGTCTAGACAGAAACTCAAACGTCAGACAACTGTGAACTGACCGTGCTGTTCGCTGTTATTTTTGGATGGAAGTTGTGGAGTGAGACTGATTGTTTCTAAGAATGTCTAAAACACTCAGCTTAGACAAAACGCTCGGGCCGTCTGGCAGGGCAACAGATTGCCTCGAGGAAATATCTCTGTGTCCAAATCCCATTCACAACACAGTTCTGCAGCATTCCAAAGTCTATGACCCATTATCATTTATTACTCATTAAAATAGGAATAAATGAAAGGCAATTGCTTGTTGTAACATGACATAATTCTTATACAACAGGCATAAGCGACATAAAGGTGGGTACCATATGGAGAACTAGACAGCCACATGGAGGGGGCTCCTGGCCGGGGTAGCCACGGGTGGGAGGCCAGGTGGGAGGCGGGGTCAGCAGGCCAGCGGCCCGCACCAGCCAGAGTCGGTCCACTAGTCACCATCAGGTTGGGGTTCAGCCCGCTAGCTGGCACCATAGGTGGATGCAACTGGGTGTAGTCTGCCAACTCTTTATTCTCTCTGTGAATGACAAGAGATTTACTTATTAGTGGTTGACCAATCTATAGCAAAGTCAGTTAGTATTTGCGTTTTGCACATTAAAGTCTACATTCCAACATTTTTTTTTTAAATCCTGCCACATAACCTTTAAAAGAAACATGGCAGCAAAAACATGCACCTGTGGTGCAAAAATATCCTTTAATATATTCTAATATATCCTACTTTTAGGGTAAAAAAATATATGCTTATATTAGCCAAAAGGCAGTTTTCTAATTTACTTATTTTAATATTTTTCAACATTTAAAAAGGAAGAAGAAAAGATGTTAGAGCCCTGATGTCTTGGTAGTAATGCTATCTGAATGAAGAAAAGAGTAATCAATTCATTAAATAATTAATTCATTTTTTGTAAAGAATGTATTATTCCCAACAAACTTAATTTTAAAATAACTTTGTTAATTTGTTTATTATTCCCAATAAAGACTACAAATTTTATAAAATAACTAAATTTTTGGCCAAGAATGTTCAGTTTGGTGCTTCGCTACATATTTTCAACAAATTTTAAAGCTATTTTTGCTGAACTAACCCTAAAAAACCCCATAAAGCTTAATTCCTTAAAAGCGCAGTTCTTTCCCATTTCAATAATTATGTAATTATTTTCGTATTCTTTCAAAATCTTCATCGAATTTTTGCTTGCCTGAACAAAGTGAAACTAACTAAAAAGGTGCTTTTAAGGTGTTTTTCTTATCCTTTGAATCTCAACAGCCACTTTCACTATAGCTGTCAAGAAAATTCCTCAAAAATGCACCTTTTGTGTTTGTTTGAAGAAATGCATCGCACAGGATTGGAACAACATGAGGGCAAGTAAATCGTTACCATTTTTGGCTGAACTATTCCATTAAGTGCCCAATATCCAGGCATCCACATTTGACAACCAGTAAAATGTCATGGATAATTTTACATTACAAAATGTATGCTTATTCAAGCCCAACAGGAAGACTGGTGGCCATGTAGCCCTGACTGAGACAAAAATTCCCCAGTCCATGACTTCTATTCTGCCTTACACTTAAGGACAGATACTGAGGGCGGAATCCTGCTGAGAGAGCCAGTCACTTTTATAAGCACCAATTTCCCCAGTGGGGAAGACTGACTTTTTCTGCTCCACGAAATGAGAGCCACACTTTGAAAATAGGCTCATATTTGCAGAGAACTGTTGCCATAAATCCATCCACTCTAAAGAAAACCACACTGAGTGTGTGACCAATGAAAGTAAAATGTTGCACCGTTTAGCTAGTGTGTGGAATCAAAGAAACAAGAATCTATTCACACTGGCTGGATATGCTTAATCCTTACTACAAGGTGAATTATTTTAATAAAAGGTTGCTTTTAATTAACAGACTTTCATCCAGGCTTCTAAAATCTTTTTAAAAAACATCTATTTGGCACACAACAGCACTTCAGTATTGCTGCTAAATGTCTGCTGGGATTATAAACTAGCTTCGACCAAGGCAGCAGAGCGAGAATCTTTAAAGATCAAACAATTTAAAGCCATCACTGATTTTTACTAAAGTGACATTAAGTCACCTTCACAGGACATCTATGCATTAGCTGCCCATATCACCAGCTTCCACACAACATCAGGGCTAAAAAAAAAAATCAATCACTAGCTCTCTTTTTGGAGAAAACTGTAAAAATGTCCAGTTCCATTTTCAGTCAAACCTCTGAACCAAAACAGTTGACACGTTTGACTTTGTATAGCAAAAAAATGTCACAGGGTAATATACCATTTGGCATTAGAAAGTGAAAGTTGTGGAAAATACCCATATTTTAATGCTAAGACTCTAAAAGGTGCCCTCACTCATTTTTGTTTATCTTGTGCTGGACAATATGGCAGTGGTCTTGACAGCTAACAATGTGGACACAACCAATGCCACTGAAGAACTGCATTTGCAGTGAGCCATGATGCAGTTACTTAGGAAATGGCCAATCATGCTATAAGCTTTAGGTGATGCACTATGTAAAATAAAAACGCTTTTATTAGGCTACAGAGTACTGAGTCAATTTTCAAAAGGTAGGTCTACTATTCATTTCTTTGTAAAACTATTTTGTATACAAAATACACACACACATATTATTCCTCTAACTGAGTGTATGGCTTACCACAAAAATGACCAACGTCAATGTGATTTCAGCCCTCAGTCTTGTTTAAAGCAACATCAACAGCTGTCACCACACAGTTAAAATTTACAGCCAGTGAAACATAATCCTTTATAAATCTCAAACGAAAGAGTTTGAAAAGTTATCCTAAGAAATGACTTGTGAACTAAAACCGAGACGTTTACATAAATATAAAAAGGAAGGTTCCAGCGTTTTTCCAGATCTGCTGAACAACTAAAACTCCAAACGCAGGATTGAATTAGCAGCTAGACCAATGCCCAGTACATTTGAGGCACTTTTCGCCAGCGCTTATAAACTCTAATCTTACCTTAACACTTTCTCCTGCTCACGCTCCACACGTCCCGACAGCAGGCGCTCGTGCCCATGACGTGTCCTCTCGTCTCCTCGCTCTTCCCCTGTGTGGATTGGGCCTACAGGACATTACACCAATTGAAGACATTGACATCCGATCCAAAATATTTGAACCAAATTAGCTTTGAGCCCACTTTATATTAGGCGGCCTTAACTACCATGTACTTACATTTAAATTAATAATTTGATACAATGCAGTTATTGTGTACATGCATGTTTTGTATTTAAAATTACCTGCATGTAATTACATCTTTAATTACTGTCTATAATTACACTGTTGACCCATCCCTTACACCTAAACCCACCCTTAAACTTACCCATACCACCAAACCTGTCCCTAACCTTACCCCTATCCCACCTCAATAGCAGCAAAAGTCTTTTGCAATACAATATGAACACAATAAGTAAAAATTTTTAAGTGCATAATACATTAAGGCATCATAATATAAAGTGGGACCTCTAACTTCATAGTGTTTGCCAATGATATCTAATTTTTCATCATTTAAGACATGTTTGATACGAGTGCACACATTTATAACCATTCTTAGCTTACAAACAACGAATCCAGTGTCTGCCAGTCTGGCAAGACTTAGATGTTACTGTTTTCTCTTTATAAATACACCGCTCCAGAAATAGCCCAAACTCTAAGGGTGTTTATCAGTCCGGACACTCAGCACCAGTCATAAGCAGTGTCTTACACATCTATGAGATTACAGACAGGCCGCGCAGAGGAAAAAAACCCACTGAGGCTCATCAATCAATTATCAATGTTTCAACACCACTGTAGTGTCATATACGGCTCAAATTGCTCTTCATAGAGAAAGCCATTTGGAGAATCAGTAGACAAAACCAGCAGCATCTCAAAATTCAAACTAAACTAAAAGAGCCTTTGAAGTCTGTGTTCAAAATACCATAACTACAGAGTCCTCTATAGCAAAAGATAAACGTGCAGAAAGTATCTGAGCGGAATTTAGTTGGGAATGTATTGAACCTTTCAGTACTGACAGACAGCAGCTGAGAAGAGATTGTGTTCTTCTAAACCAAGGAGGGGGACGAAAGTGCACACAGATCTCTGTCATGCTCCAGGGAAAAGGTTTCAGTCTGTTTCCAAGGTTACCAAAAGCCTGTCCGACATGCTATCCGTTTGCATCAAAAAGAGGGCAAATTAGTCAAGCAAAGCTCTGTCCCCAACACTTGCTTTAAATGAAAATTCAAACCTTCTCTCAGAGTGTGAGGACTAATGTTATTACAGCAATTTCCTTGCACATAAGAGGACATAAATTAATGCCTTTCTCCCCACCCTTTTCTGTCCCTTTCCGAAGCAGATTCGATTGCTAAGCAACAAACCTAAAGTCATATTAGAATGCACTGCTTGTTTGCCACCTTTAGTAGAGCTCTGTAAATTATGCTTTATAAGCATGCGGTGTCTTAGTGAAAGGTTTAACACACTCCCTATGCTAACAGGAAGCGCTGTGGGCCAAAGCAATAGCAAAGCTCATGCTGTTTAAGAAATGAAACGAAAGAGCGAGCGACCTTGCTGTCGAGCATGCCCACGTAAATGGGCTGTAACCACGGAAAATAAGATTGGGTCATTGTGATGTTCTTCAGTTTTGTTAAAGGCGTGAAAGCATGTAACAACAGAAATCAGAAATGTACACTTTTTGCCACCTCAAAGGGTTAGTTGTGCTGCTTTTTTCTGCCGACCACAAAAGAACTACATACGATAAAAGTCAATGGGGTCCAAAACAACATAAAAATAGGCATTTTTTTCAGAATAAGTGACCAGTGCTGGCAAAATGAGTCACAATGAGCAAATTTTCAAAAACGTTCAAAATGATTTGTTGGAATCAGACAAAAAATGACTGACTTCGTTTGAAGTCGAGTCAGCGAAGTTAATTTTGAGAAAAATTTTGTTTTCTGAAAGTTCGAAAGCAAAATCACCTAGCAATGTTGCATCTTTTCATCCAGTTCTTTTCTTATTAATAATTACTGTATTAATCATCACAATATAGCTATTTTTATAAAAGGTATACCTTTTTATAAAAGGTACTCCTCTCAGAAAACATACAATTAAATATCATTTTAGATGTTTAATTACTATTTGGAGCATTGGGATCACTAGACGAGGGCTTAAATGAACTCATTTTGTTGAAAACCTCAAATTCAACTAAAATCTAAAAAAAAAAATTTCTTTTTTGCCTTTAGCTCAAAATTAGCCCATTATGACTTATTTTGCCAGCACAGAAGAAAATAGCCTTGGAACAACATGAGGATGAGTAACAGATTACGGAATGTTCATTTTTGGGTGAACCATCTCTTTAAGAATAATGCATTTAAAGATAAGAAGCAACACACCTTTGATGGCTCCTCCAAGAATCGGCCTGTCCCTGTCCGATACCGAGCTGGGCTTGCTGCTGTTGTTCCTCTGGCGGGCAACAGCCACCGCAATGCCTACCGGTGGATGCCGAACCTCGGCTTCCCCCTGAGAAGTGCTTCCATCTCTGCCAAAGGATTTAGCACTCTCAGGTCTCTCGGGTTCCTTCTTCAACTGCTTTCCAGACTGCTGGGGCGGAAGGTGCTGAACTCTGGACACTCCGGGATAACCAGCCTCCAGTTTCATGCTGCCCAGTCCTCCAAACGGACAACGGCTATCAGATCCGTGCCTGGAACCAGACTCGCTGGAGAAGTTGCCGCTGTACTTGATGAGGCTCTGCATGGCCGAAACCTCCCCGTGGCCCTTGGGACTTCCGCCGGTGCCTACCGGTCTATGTAAGCCAGTAGTGTCCAGGTACATTCGCTTGCCCTCTTCTTCACCTCGGGTGCCATGGGTGTGTTGGGCCGCCAATGCGGCGATGTGACTGGTAGCATAATTGCCCATCTCGAAAGGCTTCCATTTGGGTTCGGCGGAACCCAAGGCCTTCAACAGATGCGGTTCCGAATGGCGCGTAGCTGAATCCATTCCAGAAAACGGATGGGCAGACCTTTGAACCCTATCCCGCTCTTGGCTGCGGGATTCGGTCTCGAGTCCTGTTTTGATCGTGTGTTTTGATGTAGTGTTGGATAAGTCCCTGGCATCTGGGCTGGTTCCAGATTTATTTGTGCACATTTCTAAATGCAAGGGCTTTTTCATGGCCAAACCATTTGACCTAATTATCGAGCCTTCCTCTCGTAAAATGTCTTTCTTAATGTCTCCGTGAGGGGGAGACTCGCTCCTAATGGAGGACTGACCGTGGTCCATATGCGTTCTCTCATTCCCCACCTGCAGGGCTGATCTGTGCGAGTCCCTCTCCCTGCTCTTGTCATTTTTATTATCTCGAGCTTGGGAGGCAATTTGAATTGGCCCTTTTCGCTCGTCGTAAACCTCGACAGAAGGCACATAAGTAGGAGCTATCACTCTGTGTTCTTTGCCTGGCTCTTTTGCTGTAGAGTAGAGCGGGTACATGCTGGGCGGCATGTGGTGAGGGGGAGGGTAGGTGCCAGAGGACACCAGTCTGGGCGGGAGATGGGATGGGTTGGGCTGCAGAGAAGAGGGACTGGCATATGACACATGCAGAGTGCCAGCTGATGTAGCAACCGAATCGCATCTTCTCTGCTTGTCGGAGGAAAGGTGGCCCCCTGGTCGGCTGGTTTCTTCATCTCGGTCCCTGTCCCTCCTGTCCTGTTCTGTACTCTGGTGTCTGGTTGGCGTGCTGCTGCTTGTCCCGCAGTTGCCAAGTAAACTCTGGTGAGATTGTTTGGGTTTAGTGTCCATGGTGCTCAGAGCAGGCGAGTGCTGGT